AGGAGGGACCAGTTTATCTAGGGAGTTCTGACTATTAAAGCAACCCAAAAGCTCATCATACCCAAACCTGCCAAATTAATCTTAGAAACTTCCACCCAGAGCGGGGGAAAAAAAAAAACACAATTACAGGATTTTAAAACATGAAGCAATAAACTTTACCTGTACAGGGCTTATTTAATTCAGTTTTTTTTTTGTATGTGTGTGTATGTCAAGGCTTGTGTTTTAAATCTTCCCTGGAAATAAAGATAAAAATGGTACATTTTGGGCTGGAGAGATGGCTCTGATGTTAAAGGATAAACTCATCACCGAAAATATAAAAAAAATGGTACATTTCTTCAAGAATCAAAAACCACCCAATTGCTTGAATGATTTATATGTAGTGGAAAAGTCTCTGGGTGGCTTTATCAGAGCTCAGCCAAAGTCATCTTTGGCAGACGCATTAGATGGGAATTAAAAAATGGGTTTGGAAAAGTCTATGGGAAAGATAGCCAAGATACATAGATCTATGCTACTGTAATTACTGATGGATATTCTAGCTTTTCCCTCCATGAACACACATCATTTTTTTATTTCGATATCTTCCACACTGTTGTGGGCTTGGTGCTTATGTGCCAAGAATGACCAGGTCATGGCACGCCTAACTAATGTTGACTCTTGGTTTTCTATTTTTTTTTTATTTTGGTTTCCAGAATATTATTAAAAGTAGAAGAGCAGTTACAAGGGAAAACTAGTGGAATTTTGTAAGATGATGAAAGTAATTAATATAAAATATATTTTATGTTTGATGGTGTAAAGACAAAATGGCAGCACCAAATCAGTTGTGAGACAGGCAGTTAAGGATGCTTGAGTAGAGGCAAGCATTTGAAGATTGGGTATTCAGGAGATGGTTTGTAGAACTGAATAACACTTTTTGGGTCACTTGTGATGAAATTTGGAAACTCAAGAAAACAATGTTAAGTCTTGAGAGCACAGCCTGGGTTGTAGTGTGCTATCCTGCCTCAAAACCCCATTAAAGAGAGAGAAATTAAAATAAAATTTAAAATTTTCCCATAATTGAACTGGAAAGTTGGAGTCATTTTCAGTAATGCTCTTCAGAACCAGACAGTAAAGTGGTCACTGTTTACCACCCTTGAAGTGACACGATTTTTTCACTGGTAGGTATAGAGCTAACTGGACTCAAAGCATCGCCTGTCCCCAAACTGAATTACAAGTGGAATATACAGCAAAAGAAAGCTCAGGTAGAATGTATCCTAAGAGGCTGTGACTTTTCAGCTGTAGTTTGAGTAGCTTAATGCTTTTCATTAGAAAGAAATTTAAAAGAGAAGCATGCTTGAGATAAGAGAATTATTTTATAATTCTCATAGGCAGCGTGTGGGGTTGAGAATGGTGCTGCTGTTCAGACTGAGGGTGTAAGCTGGCTGGTCCACGCCTGCGGGGTGGATTTCCAGAACACTCTGCCCCTTAGCATTAAACAAAACATACACTAGGGGTGGGTGCAAGTGAAGAACCAATATTAAGGACTGTTATTGGAAAGAATGGGATTAAAGACTTCTTAAAAGGATTGTGAAACAGTCACTTGAAAGACTGGGAAAATGGTAGCTTCAAGGACAATAGAATTAGGGAAGGATTCCATTTTGCATTTGAAAAGTGACTTGAAGGGCACAGGCCTGAAAAGCCATCACTCAGGATGGCTGCAAGGTTGAGGCTAATATGGTCTACAAAGTGAGACCACTTCTCACCTGCAACACCTCCCCCCAAATAAAATCTTACAACTGTCACACACACACACACACACACACACACACACACACACATCCTGACAGGAAGAGAAGTAGAGGACAGTATTTTTATCTGAAGTCCTGATCATAGAATTGTTTAATTTTTATGTCACTAATTTATGCATCAAATGTCTTACACCTCCATCTGTTTGAAAGCATAAACATTTTTAAAAGTTGGCTTTTGGGGGCTGGGGAGATGGTTCATTGGGTAGAGTGCTTGCCTTGCGATTGTAAGGACTGAACGAAAGCCAAATGTGATAGCAGACATCTGTAATTCCAACACTCACTTCTACAGCAAGAGGAAGGTGGGGATAGGAGAACCATGAACTTTGCTGGCCGGCAAGCCTGATAATATATAGTAGCAGACGGATGTTGTTGAAAATGAGTTGGAAAGGGAGGATCACCACATGAAGTTCTACTCTACTTCTACATGTGTGATGTACCATGAGTGAGCCTCCTTTCTCATACACAAGGCAAAACAAACAACCAACCAACCAACCAAAAAAAAAAAAACCCAAAAAAACCCCCAATTACTTTTAGCTAGTTTCACCTTAGATGTGCTTGGGGACACAGACACATACATTGCTATATATTTAACAGAAATATTTCAGGACAAGCATTTTCTAATAGCTTGACACACTAGTCACTGTTGGTATAACTTGCCTTTGTGAGGCTTCAGAGGCTACTTAAAATACCACAAAATGGTCTGCCTTGCAACTGCCACATTTTAAAGAAGTCATATGAAGGATGAATTTAGTTCTCTAAACATAGAAGAACAGTTATTCTGTGATGATTCAAGAAGGCCCTCACTGGATGCCGGCAACTTGATCCTGGACTTCGCTTGCAGAACTGCTTACAAATATTACTTGCAGTGTTACTAATGCAGTAGACTTTGACAGTATTCTATCCTTTGCTATACAACTTGCATGCACATAAAAACGTGGTCTTTAAAGAATTTAAAAAATTTTAAAAAGTAGGGAAGCATACAATTCTGAAAATTCTCAAGTGTCTTACGAAGACCACTTTACAAGTTCTTAATAAAAATGATTGATAGTATTGTGTTGAAAATTATTTCAATTTGCTAAGCAAGAGTAAAGATATATTTCATACAATCCCCAGTCATAACTATTAAGTCTGAATTCTTAATTTTACTTTTTTTTCTTACCTAGCTTTGATTTACAATCAAACTCAATTCTGTAACCCACCTAGACTTGGAGGGGAGTTGGGGAAAAATATGGAGCCCAAGGAGTGTTAAATTAATGGGTATTGTGAAGAGAGGGTGGGGGCTGTCTCCTGAACTATAGAAGGATGGTTTGTTGGGTAATACACAAGCAGGTCAAAAGAGTACTAGAGGGGTCCACTGTCAGCAATGGCAATCACCTTGTTGGTTCTGGGATCAAAATTGTTCTGGAGGAATCTTCACCCTAGCCCCTGGCATCCATATACCCAGAGTATGGAATGTTCTGGTGGAGGTTCCACCCCAAGCCCCCCTCCCACATTTCTCTCCAAACCATGCTGGATCTCAGAAAGCCCTCCAAATGATGACCCCTCACCCAGAGATGCTCAAGACCACTCCCACAGGGTATTTAAACTGTCTCCCCCTCCCCACGCCAGAAAACAGACATGCTTTTCCAGTGTCTCTTTTCCATCTTCTCTTGGGGCAGGGGGGCTGGAAAATTCATCCTGAAGCGTTTTACCCAATAAATCTGGGCTCTTTCTAATTTGGTTTGATTTGTTCTGATTTGGATTGCTGTGTTGGACAAGTTTATTGGGGTGCAGAAACTTCTCAAAAATGTCCAATGGCTTCCATGACATTCACACCTCTTTTCATCTTCTCAAAGACATTTGCTACCCAACCGGTTACTCAGTCTTGGTAGCAGAGATGAAAATCTGAGAAGCACTTGTTGGGTTCATGATTTGTCATGGGCAACAATACTTCATGGTGTAGTTCTTATTCTCAAATTTCTCCACATAGACGGACTTGCCATTGTGGTTTGTGAAGTCACCGCCCTGGCTCGAGTCCTGGAATGATTTTGTGCAAGGTAGAATCCTCTTTCCATATCTTTTCTGTGGAGAGCTCAGTGTGAAACTGTAAATGGGCCAAAGGGGATACAATTGTCCCCTATGTTAGAGAACACCTTGGGGTTGACCATGGCTGCCAGCAAGTGGCAACAGGAAACATCAGTGTCTGCAAACTGGCAATAGCATATTAATCTAGAATATTACACTTCAGAGTATAATCTTAGGAATATTACTAGTTCTTTAGTGTTGGAAGTCTTTGTGCTCAAAATGGCCATATTTTAACATTTCTAATCAAATTATCCAATGCTAAAATGAGGTTAAATAAAGAAATGAAAGGACAGAGAAAAAAATGGATACTATAAAGAAATTTTGATTATTAGACTTAGTATTTACTATCAAATCAGTACTTATGAACGTCACACAAATTTTTTTTTTACAAATATATGAATTTAAATGTAAAACTGAAATAGAAAAAAAAAGGTATGGTACAATTAAATAGACTCCAAGTACACAAGAGTACAAATCTTGAGGATTAATACATCATCAATCAATCACCAGGAAAACACCTCAGGGTATGTTTATGAGGTCATTTCCAGAAGTTTCAGTAGGTAAGGACAACCAAGCTGGAAACTGGATTGTATAGTCCCAAACTGAGAAGAAAAAGCAAACAAACAAACAAACAAGCCAGGCAACAGCAGATGCAATCAAGCAGCATCCGCTACCATGTTTCTAAGTCAGACTGAACCTTTCCTTCAAGTTGCTTTTGTTTTTATTCACATATTTTACAAAGGGAAAGTCTTTGATAAAAATGTATAAGTAAGAAGATCACATACTTGTACTTGAGGTGGACAACACATGACAGGGTTTCTCTGAGTAGCCCTGGCTGTCCTGGAACTCACTCTCTTGACCAGGCTGGCCTCGAACTCAGAGATCCACCTGCCTCTGACTCCTAAATGCTGGGATTAAAGGTGTGTGCCGCTTCTGCCCAGGGAAAATGATGCTTTTTTTTTTAATATAATTTTTTATTGAAAAAAAAATTTCCGCCTCCTCCCCCCC